CATTTGGCTTTTCCTTGGTAGTATTACTGGGGTTTTCTGGCATCCCAGCACAGATGGGTGCTTGCTACCCTAGCTTTGACCCAAGCTTGTACACATACATGGTAGAGGCTTTGCTCTCTCTTTTTTAATGAAAAGCATTTAACATTAAAAAAATAAATAAACTTGGACAGATTAAATTGACAAAGTTGCCCATTACCTTTGTAGAAAGTCCCTGTCAAAAGATAAACTTTAAAGCTGGAATGCATGAAAGAGTTCCAAGATAGAATTTAAATTTAAACTGATTCTTTAGAGATAAGCTTTTTAAAAATCCACCTCTTTGCTTCAAGTCAGGATTTTAAAAATAAATTTCCCCTTTAAATCTCTTGAGCGATTTTCATTTTTTGCAAGGCCGCACCGCTGGTGTCCTGGAAAAATGGAGAGTTAGAGCTTTATCAGTTGGTGCCCTGAGGTATGTGGCAAAGAAGCTAAATCCTTGAAGATTAGCAAAAAAAAATGCAGCACATGGCAATAAGGGGCTTATATGACTACTAGTATTAGTTCAGGTGAAAGAAGTATTGCTTATACATAAAACTGGACAAATCCACTGACAATGTATTTTTAGTTAGCTACAAAGGAGTCTTATATTGCTGGACTTTACGTCTTTGGTGAATTGGGAAGCTTAGTAATCCACTGTAAATGCTCTTCTGCTCGCCCCAATTCTTAGCATTACTCCCAAGTGCTGTTCTTTTATTTTAACCCTTAAAAGCTCCCGTTGTCCTCAGAGTCTGGCTTCATGCCATTAAAGGTGGAAGTCACCATATTGTTTAAGTAATCAAAGTTATCCTTTGTCATTCAGTTTGCTGTTTTGGGGGAAAGTTCACAAGAGAAACTATTTTTAAATTGTAGGAAATATCTCTGTTTTTATTTTGATAAGCATTCAGCTAAAGTTAACATAAAAATCCAGGAAGAAATTGTTGTTTAGAAATTATACTTTCTTTATATAACTAACATTCTCATTAATCTCTTTCCTTTGAACAAAATGATCTGATTAATCTTTTTCTATCCTTCTTTGGATGTTTTCAAGGTAACTCTGACTTTGTGACTGAAATTAAAGTGTTTAAGTAGTTTGTAGGTAGTTTCCATTTGTCCTAGGCTGCTGGAGATAGTTGCAGTTTACGCATGCTTTATGGTATAATTAATAGCTCCCTCTTTCACTGCCAGAGGTGTCTGCTTAGATGATACAGGATGTTGTGATTACAGATGAAACTTTGAGCTGAGGTAGCAGTGTCATTTATCAATTAATCCAGATATCTGAATACCTTTTGCCTTCAAGATACATCCATACAAATCTGAATTCTAAAATGTATCCTCATTTTTGTTTGCTTATTTTTTTGCATAACATTTAGCGTTTTTAGACTAGATCATAAATGGACTGTGTCTTGGTTCTTTCTACCTGCCAGGCCATTTAAGACAGCACCAGAAGGGTAGCTAGCGTAGTTGAAAGGGGGTGTCTTTTTGAGACAGGGTCTCCCTGCAGCCCCAGCTGGCCTTGAACTCACAGAGATCTGCCTGCCTCTGCCTGGGATCAAAGACGTGCGCCACCACGCCCGGCTGAGTATACTACAATGTTTAGAGTGAAGAACAGAAAGGGTAATTTGAAAAGAAAAGGAGCTTAGTTGTCTTTTTTCCATGGTGGCTGTGTTGTTCAACTCTGCCTACTGAAGCAGCAGGAGTCATGTCTGCACGCCAGTAAGCACTGCCCTTTGAGCAGTGACTTTGTGCCCAGTGAGTTAGGCTTCCGTTTTGATTCCATTGACCAGTAATGCAGTGGGAACTGAACATGACTCGACATCGATCTGTTGGATGTGCTGCACAAAATAATGCCATATTATGCCTTCTTGGTAACTACATTTTTTATTGCTAAAATGCTCTAATTTTCTAAAGCTTTTAAAAAGTTTTAAAATACATTTAAAACTTAAAATACATTAAACACTTACATGAAAAAAGTGTGGAGAGGTTAAAGGTATTGTAAATAATTAAGCTAATAAAGAAAGGTTCTTTTTTAAATTAATTTTTTATGTGTATGAGTGCTTTGCCTGCATGCATATAAGTGCACCTGTGCGTGCAGTGCCTGCAGAGGCCAGAAGAGGGCATTAGATCCCTGACTTGTTAACTGTCATGTGGGTGCTGGGAACTGAACCTAGGTCTTCTGCAAGAGCCATAAGTGCTCATAGCTGCTGAGCCGTGTCTTCCACCCCAGTAAGAAGGTTCTTAAAAGACTAGAAGAGGTGGACTTTATATGGGGATACAAAGAATTTTGAATGTTTATAGAGAGTTTAAAGAATGTACTTCAGGCCTCAATATTTTTTACCTGTATAGTTTGCTTAGCAAAAGGGAAAAAAATCATGGGAGGAGGATCTTGAAAGCAGTTTGGAATCACTGCTTCATACTCAGTTTTTAATGTCTTTAAAGCACTTGATATGTCACTGTGACAGACGTGGGAACCAACAACAAACAAAACAGACATGGTTTCTGCAGTATTTGAGTGAGAGGAAATCCAAGTAAATGAGTAGTACTGAAGGCACAGATGAAGTAAAAAAGTTCTCTGAATTTCTTTTACTATCGATTCAGTGCTGTGACAGATGGCTTAGGTTGATCCTGGAAGAATAATGTAATAACAGAGATGAAAGTTGAGGCCACATTTAAGATAAAATGTTTAGTAAGCACATCCTGCATGCCAGGCTTTGTTCAAGAGAATAGCCAAAACAGATCTTGAGGTAATGATATGTTTTTAAAAGAACTGTGAGGGGCTGGAGAGATGGCTCAGCGGTAAGAGCACTGACTGCTCTTGCAGAGGACCTGGGTTTGATTCCCAGCACCCACGTGGCGGCTGTGAGCTGTCCTTAACTCCAGTTCCAGGGGAATCCAATGCCCTCTTCTGACCTCCGAGGCATTGCACGACACAGGTGTACTCACATACATGCAGGCAATACACTCATACACATAAAATAAAAATAATAAAATATTAAAATAAAATGTGAAATAAAATAAAAGAATGTGAAAGTGTTGGATTAGATCCATTTGCAAATAACTACATGATATACATGTAACAGTATTTTCTGTATCCATTCCCCTGTATCCTTCTATTATGACTTAATTCTTGGGCTTCGAGTATGGAAATCAATGTTTATTGAGTGTTGTCAGGGCTAACAATGACTTACAGTATTCCAAGACCAGGGCTGTTAAGCATCTGACCATACTCGAGGCAGTTCTGTACAATGAAGAATTATCCCACCAAAAATTGCTGTTAGGCTCCCATTGAAAAACTCTTACGTAGATAGTAATTTAGAACTCCAGGATTTTTGTTTGGTTTGTTTATCCAAAACATTTATTATACCATAAGATATAACCAGAAAGTATCAAGAGACCGTTTAATGTCATACTTAATTTGTATATTTTCTTTCTGACTAAAAGCTTGAGTATTTGCAAAGTTTTCAGCATTTTCAGGGGTCATTGCCTTCACTATAAATACTTTCTAAAAAGAGGCTTTGGGTTATTATTTTTTCTTTTACATCATTTTGTATCTTCTAGCAGTGAGCCCAAAATGGAATTATTTAGTCCAGTAATTATACTTGACACTTCAGCTTTTTCATATGAAAAAGCAAACTTACAATGAGTTTTATGTTCAAGTCCCATAAATAAATGTAGTTTTAAATTTTATTTTAAATAATGTTTGGGTTTATGTGTGGGTAAGTGCACACGAGACCAATGGTATCAGGTTCCCTGGCGCTAGAGTTACAGCCATCAAGAACCACCTGATGTGGGTGCTGGGAATCAGCCCAGGTCCTCTCCAAGATGGTACACACTCTGAAATTGTTGAGTGTCTCTGCAGCCCCAAATAAATGTGCTTTATTGTTTAGGGACGATCTCATTGCAAGTCTTTCTAGTTATGTTAAACCTGACAGGTATGTAAATGTTCCACCAAGTGCTGTGATAAAAGTTTATATATATGAGGCAGGTGTAGTGATGAACACCTTTAATTCTGGCACTTGGGAGGGAGAAGTAAGTGAATCTCTCTGTAAGATTGAGGCCAAGCAGGTATACATAGCAAGGTCCAGGCCAGCTGGGGCTATAGGGAGATGCTGTCTCAATAATGGTAATAATAAATAATTGATAATACTGAAGAAGTTAAGACAAATAAGCCAGAAACAACTGCCATATTAATATACTATGACTAAAATTCATAGACTCTCATAATGTCCAGTAGCCTTTAGTTATTAAGAAACATAAACTAAGACTGGGGAGATAGCTAATTCAGTAAGGTGCTTGCCAGGTAAGCATGAGGAACGGAGTTTGATCCCCAGAAACCAAGTAAAAACCGGTACACCTTTAAGTGGTATGTGCCTATAACCCCACCACTAATGGGAGGCAGGGGCAGAAGCAATTGAATCCCTGAAGCTCATTGGCCAGCCAGCTTAACAAAATCTGTGAGCTTCAGGTTCAGTGAGAAAACCTGTTTCAAAAAAGTAAATGCAGGGCCAGAGAGATGTCTCAGTGATTAAGAACACTGCTTGCTCGTGGAGGACCTGGGTTCAGTTCCCAGCACCCACATGGCAGCTAACAACTGTCATTAAGTCCAGTTCCAGGAGAGTGATGCTCTCTTTTGGCCTCTGTGGGCATTGTATGACACTACGCATTTACATACCTGCAGGCAAAATCCTCAAACACATAAAAGAAAAGTAAGTAAATAAAAAAATGAAGGTGGAGAATGATTGAGGACGCACTTGTTGTCTCCCTCTGGCCTCTACACACATGTATACACGTATGCATATGCACACTGACAGGTGCTGCACCACTCACAACACACATAACAATGAAAAAGAAGCATAGACTGGCCCAAGTTGTCTTTTTGTCTAGAATTTTTAGTTGATTAGCTTTGTAAGGGCAGGGAAGTAGCAGAGGTAGGAAATACTTGAGTAGAAAACAATTTGTTTCTGATGGCAATGTCGTACCTTCCACAGATAAAGGTGGAGCCAGTTGTTCCAGCCCCAAGTCCGGTTATCCCCAGGTTGACGCTGCGAGTCGGTGCTGGCCAGGACAAGATGTAAGTATGAAGGTTGGGGATGAGAGTGACACCTGCCCCTCTCTGCACTGTCCCAGTAGACCTAGGATTCGTCAGCACGTACGAGCATGTGGCCACTTTCTATTCTGAGAGCCCCCTGCTACCAAGTTCGTACTGGTTTCTTCCTCCAGGTAAATGCTTCTTGCTTTTTTTAACATATGCGATCCCCCGCCCCTTTTTTCTTGTTCTGTTACTCTCTTTTAAAGATTAGCATATGATATTGTTTCTGCATAGTGTTTGGGGTCCTGGTTATCTGAAAAATATGAGGCTGTGTATTGGATGGGTCAGCTGCCATAGGTATGGTATAGGTACGGTGTTAGACCTTCTCAAGGTCACATCACCTGCCACTGGACAGAGAATAAAGATTCAGATGGATTGTGCTTTGTTCAGTACCTGTAAGACAGATGTACTCAGAAGTGTCAGGGCACAGTGTATAACAGTGACAACTGGATGCCCATTCTTCTACTCTTTAGTTTCTCAAAGAAAGTGAGGAACATAAATCCCATATTTGCTGTTTATCTTAATTTTCACAGAATCATCTTATCAGCCCATCTTTCTTTTTTTAGTAGTTTTTTTATGTGTATGTGTTTGCCTGAATATATGTATGTGCACCACATGTATGCAGGTGCCCATGGAAGCCTATCTATCTTTCCTTAAAATCAATTAGTTGGATTTTTTCCCATTCATCTTTTGAGGAAGTATTAATCCTACAGTGTTCTTACGTGTTCCTAATGAGGTATAAAATATTGATATGTTCATAAATTATGTTGAAATAGTTGTTCTGAAAAGCACAGTGTATGTCATTTCAGTGAAATTAACAAGCTAAAAGTACAAGTTCCTGAGTTTTTTCACAGTAAGCATGAAAGCGGAGTGGTTCATGCTGCAGGCAATCAAGTCCTGCACAGAAAGTAGAAGCCGTTGGTTTCTGCTTGAGTTCAGCATAAGAGAGTAGAATGTAAAAATCTGTTTAGTAAGTAAATAACAGAAATGTACTGGGGTGGTGATGCATATCTGTAATCACAGCACCTGGGAGGCTGAAACAGGAGAGTCAAGAATTGGAGGCCAGCCTGGTCTACATAACAAAATCGTAGCTCAAGAAACAGAATCAAAATAAAACCTAGAAAGTGCTTTAATTGACATTTTAATTTACTATTTTATTCTTTGACAGTTTCATGCATGTGTGCAGTGTAAATTGATCATATCTAACCCAAGGCCTTCTTCCCTCCCTCACAGACCCCTCCTTCTCCCTCCTACCTGCCTGTCTTCTTTTCTTTTGTTTTTCTTTTTCTTTTTGAGACAGGACCCCCTTGTAGCCCCTGCTGGCCTTGATCTCTCAGAGATTTGCCTGCCTCTATTTCCTGAGTGCTGGGATTAAAGGTGTATGCCATCACATCCAGCTTTCTTTTGTGTTTTTTAGTAAGCCTCTGAGTCCAGTGAGTGCTGCCTGTGTGCACATGGGTGTGGGGCCATCCACACGAGCATGGGCAACCTACCAGCAGCCATACCTCCAAAGAAAAATGACTCACCCTCCCTCGCAGCCATCAGTTGTCAAGAGCTCCTTGACTAAGTAGAAATGGAGCTTCCTAAGTGCCTCCCCCATCCGTGCTGCAATATTTACTGACTTGCTTTTGTGCAGATAACCACAGCTGCTATGAGTTCATGAGTGCTGTAGCCATATCATGTCCACAAGGCAGCTCTCTACACATCCTCCAGCTCTTACATTCTTTCCAGCTCCTCTTCCATGATGTTCCCTGAGCCTTAGGGGGAGGTTGACACAGATGTCCCATTTAGGGCTAGTCACTCAGTGCTCAGTTATTCTCAGCATTTTGACCAATTATGTGTCTTTACAAAAAGAAGCTTCTTGACAGGTGTGGTGGTGCACGCCTTTAATCCCAGTACCTGGGAGGCAGAGGCAGGTGGATCTCTGTCCAACCTGGTCTCCATAGTGAGTTCCAGGCCAGCTGGAGCTACAGGGAGACCCTGTCTTGAAAACCAAATAACAAAACAAAACAAAACAAAAAGAAGCTTCTCTGGCCAAGGTTGAGAGCAGCACCAGTCTGTGGGTATAAACGTAAATAAACATATCCATTTAGTAAAATAATAGTTGTAGTTCTCCCCCTGCCACACACACCCCAGGTCCTATGATCTCCCCAGCCGTGGACTCGTGACCAAGTATATACTTTAAAAAAATATATATATGGATTTTTTTGTTGTTGTTGCTGTTCTCAGTAGTTCATGTCATCTGAAAGTTTTTGTGTTTTATGCACTGTCTCTGTCAGTTGTAAATGCACTTTGATAAAGTCCAGCAGGAGTATGATGAGAGGTAGTAGAAAGGCCAACATAGTCTTCCAAGAGAGTGTGCACTTCTGTGAAGAGTTAAAAAGGCAAAATCAAAATGGTTCCTATTTTTCTTGCCTAAGTTATCTGTGTAATTCCTACCTTGTCCTTCTTAGTTGTGCCAATAGAGACCCTAGATGGCAGGTGGTCCTACTACTGACAAACAGAAAATCTTATTTAAAAAATTAATCCATCTCTTTAAACCTAGTATCTGGTGTGCACACTGCCTTCAGCCTTCCTTACAGAAGTCTGAATTGGGCTAAGGGTGTAACTCAGTAGTAGAGCACTTGCTTAGCATGCACAGTGCTCTAGGTTTGATACTTAGCACCATCAAGAAAAACAAAGTTTGAATAAGGTCCTAATCTCTCAACCAGTAGGATGACAAAGGAGTCCCAGCAGAGTGACTTTCACTCTATCTCCTTGAAAAGTCTATTTACTGTCTCATTTCTCCAAGGGAAAGTGTTCTTATTCACCATTCAAAAGGCACTTTCACCAGTTCACGTTTAATTTCTGTTTTCTCCATAGGTCGTCATTCTTAACTCCCACACAGAGATTTGGCTTGCTCACTCCCTTTAAAGAAATAGATTTTTAAAAGGCTCTTTGCCCTTAAGGATCTGTTTTCGCCTTTCCATAAATCACTCATATCCCTAAGAGACTGGAAGATGTGCAAACTAGATCCCATTACTCTGGAACAAAATGTCCAGCTTGAGGGAAATTAGAATAACCAGAGATTCTAGAAAAATTGCCCTTGGAAGTTGTGTTATACTACTTGTAAAATGTAGACAATTAGAACATAACCTCCATTTTATATGAAGGATTAATTATTTGACCATGGCAGGTGCAGGAAACTGCTTACAATGAACAAAGAAATTAAGTTTAACACATTACATGTTAAATTAAGGGAGGCAGGGAGAAGGGGAAGGAGGAGGAGGAGAGGAGATGCTCAAGTAAAATAGATTTGCGTATACATAGAAATTAAGTAAAGATTTGGGGAGGGGTGGCCTATTGCCTGTTTTTGTATGATGTGCAAACTAAGAATTGTTTTTGCATTAAAGAATGTTATGGGGTTGGAGTGATGGCTCAGTGGTTAAGAACACTTGTGGCTCTTCCAAAGGACCAGAGTTCAGTTCCCAGCACCTACTTCTTCAGTTCACAATTGCCTGTAACTCCAACTTCAGATCTGACAGCCTGTTTTGGCCTCTGCACACACCTGCATACACACACACACACACATACACACACACACGTACATATACATATACATACACATAAATTTTGTAAAATTTTTAAAAATATATTTTATGACACATGAAAATTGAGTGACATCCAAATTCCAGGCATCTTTTATGGTGGAAGAATCCATGGCCTGTTCCATGGCTGTAGTGATGGAAAAGTGGTGAGGATTCATATAAATGTGCATTTAGTTCCCATTTGTGCACACTTGGGGGTGAGCTAATATTCTTTTCAGGTGAAATTAATGATCAGACTAGGATTTAAAAACAAAGGAGTCTGTGTATTCCAAGGGGGAGGGATAGTGTTTATTGCTGAAGGACAGTCTTTTGAAATTGTGAGGAAAAGAAAAAGCTTTACAAGGTTCAAATTATACCGTCTTGTCAGAAGACCTTTAAAACAATATTTAGTTTCTAAGTCTTAAAGAAATTAGGTCTGCTGCCCTTGATCCAGAAAAGGGCTTTGTGGTTAGATCGGGTCCTCTGTTCTCTCTTACTGTTCCTTGCAGCCAGACAGCAGTAATTTGTTTTTCCATCAGTTTCACATCCTCTGAAGCTGTCTTCTACAGGGGTCTGTGATGAGCCAGTACCTCTTCCTGGCAGTGTTAAAATTTAGGAGGACTTTCCAAAGACCTAAGGGTTATTATATATCTCCTAGTAATGGATGCCCAGAGTTCCCTACAGTCCACATTGAAGATAAAACAAAAGTATTAACCCTGAAACTACGGCCTCAACACTGTCCGTGGGAATGGGGAAGCAGTGCATTCAGGACCACTGAAATATCTCACAGTCGAGTTAGGGTTTCCACTTTCCTATGAACAGCTGTCTAGAGCTCTACTGTTCAGGGTCCTGGGGTTCCCCCAGACAGACAAGTGACAAGGAGTGCTAATGCGAAGAAGTGGTAAGAGGCAGGCAGCACAGCTGTCCTGAGGTTTGCCATTTTGACCTTACTGTTTGCTGAGCTACTTTATTTTGAGCAAGTGTAGTTGAGATGGCTAACTGATGGTATTATTCTAGTCCTGCTGTGAGGAAAACAGAGCTAAGTAATGTGGTAGAATTTCTTAGGGACAGTCTGTTTAGAGAAAATTGTCAAGAAAGAAATATGGCAAAATAAGGACCTGTAGCTTCTTCTCTAAGTTTAAATATCCAGTGGTATTTATGAAACTTAAAATTCTATTAAATGACCCTCAAGGGAAAAGGTAATTTTACATATTGATAAGTATAAAGAAAAACATAAATTTCTGTAAAGCTTTGAGGATACTATTGGGGAATCAGCGTTCTTCCTTTACAAATGCTGTCGTCTTTAGTGCTGTCCTCTTATAAGGATCCATGGCCTTCTGCCTACCCAGTCTTACTGTGTAGCCCAGGCTAGACTGGAGCTGGAGACCATCCTTTCCTCTGCCTCTATAGTGCTGA